ACCATCTTCTCTTCCCACGCCGGTTCCCGTGAGGAATTCCTTTCCTAGAGTTCCTTGTCGAGGGCTCCTCGCTCGTCCCCAGAAACCGGCATCTCGTTGCGTGGTCCCCACGCGGGCGGTGGCTTGCAGTCACCTCCCAGGCCCAAAGCAGGTGACCCTCCCGCATCAGACCCCCGCCCGCCGCTGGTTCGTTTCAAGGCCGGGTCACAGCTGCCCTTGCAGACGCCGCCCTGATGTCTCCCAGCACGCAGAACACCGCATCGACAGCCAGGCAGTTCTCCCATTTCATTTTCCTTTTCTCTCTCAAAGGTCAGGAAAAAAAAGAATCACGTAGAGACTTTAAGGCATGCATGTGTAGCAAGAATTTTCCTACAAACTAGGAATTTGGACTGTTTGTCATTTTTTTCATTACTTAAACTGGCGCGTGCATTTTCAGCATACAAAAGCTAGCTGGCTTGATTAAATTTTGTATGAAAAGATATCAGCAATAAAATGAATATTCCTACTGTCCTTTAAATTTCTTTGGAATAATATAAACAGCATCAGAAGGAGGAAGTATTGGGTTGTGGTCTTTTTCATGCTGATAAGCGTCAACTAAACTCCATTTTCTCACGCAGGTAACACTGCTTCTATGCAGCGTACCCGTAGGCTGCACAAAAGCTTTCAGTTACGGCAGAGGCAGAAAAAAGGGAAGTCAGATCTAATAAAAATACCTTTCTGCCACGAGTCTTTTATTGATAGATATTAATCCTGTTACGATGTCTTCATAAAACAGGCATTCCTCCAGTTTCTCCAGCTGTGCCCCAGACCCCAGCAACCTTATTAACAGTGACAGAATCTGGGTACTGTCCTACCTGTTCTTGTCCCCGGGCAAGCAGAAGTTATAAAACCAGTAAGCTCGTGCTGAGCTACACTTTTTGTTAGGAAATAACCACCAGCATGCCCTGCTCTTGGCAGCAGCTTCCACTCTGAAACGGCCACTATTTGAATTGTGATCAGCACATTAATTATCCGAGGGAAACCAAAATCTATCCATTTGGAATTGTTACGTCCCACTCACATCAGTTGCTCCAGCGCACGCATTTAGCAAAACCCATTAATTAATAGGCATCGAACTGTATACTCATGAGAAAATACGTTCTGCCTTTAAAATTAAAAGGTGAATTTCAAAAGCTGGAGCAATATTACTCATTCTACAGTGTTTTTGGCTTCTGCTGCCAAATGATGCATCTGTTCAAACACAAAAACCCAAATGATTCGGGCCCATCAGTCAATCACTGATAAGATGCTGACAGCCCCACAGAGGAAGTAACCTCCTCAAATATCCTTCAGAGCTTGAGCAAGCACAGTCCAGCAAGATCACAAATTCTAAAGTAGTAATATATGTCACTACACGGTTATAAATACTAACATTGGGGATGGTTAATTTAGAATATTGGCAAAAAAATGTCAGTCCAATCTGACCTGAACGAATTTGAGTTTCAAATCATACAATCTTTCAAAGAAATAAAACTTTCAACCTTATTTATAAAAATTAACATTCTGTGTGGAAAACTACTATATTTGATATTCATTACAATGTGATTCATTGTATGAGGTGATTCGTCCTTTGACGTGATTCTCTATATATTGTAAAATGATTGAAAATGTTAAAAATGTGAATTTTAGAATCTAAAACTTAAGACTTGAGAAAGAGGTTACAAGATGGTATGCTTAGAATAACATTTGAGAAGATTTTCAAGACAATTCTCAAATCAAATAAACTGAGCATTCGTTAAAGCTCCTAGAGCTGCATTAATCAGCATGGTTCAAAGAGACGAAGAAATCAAGCTCCAACTGAAGTTTATTGAATCCCAAAGTACAAAAAAGTATCCAGTTCTGGTACAAATACCTCATTCCCACCAAATCCACACCCACAATCAATCAGTGTGGAAGCAGTGCCACCCGGAAAGGACGTACAAACGTGCAGGCCAAGAAGCATCACAGCATCTCATAGCAGTTAAGAGGAAAAGCCGCTGCCCAACTTAACACTGTGGGTGCTGCGAATTTTGACCTGCACCCAACGCGGTGACACTCCGAGCCTGTCTTCACCAGGATGTACCCAGAGCGGTACCTCTCCCCAGGCAACACCGTGGTTTGTTAAAACCTTTATCATGGAACACCAAGTCAGGTAAACATTAAGCCAACCTTAAAAAAACCACTGGTTTTGCCAGTTCCCACCTGGGCCCTCCAAACTCATGACTGGGCACTGTTGTGCTTTTTCACTCTCAACGGCAACGACGGAAAGATGCATTTTAAAAAAAAAAAAAAAAAAAGAGGGGGTTTCCTCCCTGGGACAGGGCCAGGAGAAATCACATCTAGTGGAAGACTAGGTTTCATTTTCATTGTTTATAAAGCTCTATATAATGAGCTCATCATCGTTCTTCCTGGATTCTACAGGATTTGGGAACAGCTCTGAATTTGGGGGTTAGTAGGAAGCCTTGCAGCCTTTTAGCTAACGCGTCCTTTTCTTTGGCTACTTCAGCTCCAGAGCAAGCCCCAGGGAGCGGCTGAAGCAAACAAAGCACCCCTTATTCTCTCCTGCTAGGGTGCAACTATCCTGTGCCCACAGACAAAAGGTCTGGAGTGTATTTTAGGTATCTTAATTTCTAACAATATAAAATGTTCTTGGTGGCTACAATGCAAACCGTTAGACAAAAAGCTATCACGTGGTTTCCAGACCAGAAAAAAAAAGTCACGAGAAAAAACCCAAACATATCCAAAGACAATACAAGTCCTTGGATGTCTCCCGTGTGCTTCATCCTTCAGGACTCTTCCTCCTCCCCTTCATCGTCTACTTTAGGCCGGAAATTTTTCCTATTCTTCTTCTTACTGCAATGGAATCCAACTGTTTCCCCCGACGGCTCTTCACCTGCACCACTAAACCTTGTGCTAAGGTTACCTTCTGTATTCAGGTCCCCAGCCACCACGCACTCCTCCTCCTCTGTTGCCTTTCCACTTCCACTGTCTAAGTGCCCCAGCTCTACCTTATCCTCCTCCCTCGAGTCATCAGTCTTCTTAAGAGATTTTCCTTTCAGATCTGTTTTCATGTGTTTCTTATCATCCTCCCCTGCTGTTTTCTTTTCCAGTCCATCAACACCCCTTTTCGTTGGTTTGGTGAAGACAATCCTCCCAGCTCCACAGCTGGAAGGGTCCTGGTTGAAGTACGGGGTGTAGCTATCTCGAGTAGCTGAGCTTTGTTCCTCCCCTCTCTTCTTCAAACCCTCTAGAAATTCCATGGCCACAGCCCTGTTGGTCTTGTCACTAGTCTCTGAAACTCCATCTAGGCTGTACTTGGTCCAGCGCTCTGGGTGTGCCACATAGTCAGGCACTGCAGGAGCACTTCTGGGGGCCTGCACTGCCTTGCCTTGCTTTCCCAGGCTTTCTGGAACCATGTTACCTGAACCCGTGGTTGGAGGCAATGGACGCTTAAACCTCCCGTCAACGACATTATCTTCAGGCATCGAGGGCACGGACAACTTGGCCGCCTCTTCCAGGCAATCGAATATGCTCTGGCTACGGAGAGAGAAGGTAGAACTCATGCCCCTGAGGTGGAAGGGCTGGACAGGAGATCTGTGGCTGCTGTTTGAAGAGTCGGGGGGCTCCCCTGATCTGTAATCCCCATCATCTACAGACGGCTCCTCAGGAGATATTGTATCAACTTCTGCTTCATCCGCTAACCCCAAATCCTCGGAATCAGAGTCGCTGAGCGACACGGTGTCTGAGGGCAGAGCTCCTTCATAGTCTGTGGCACCCCCCGCCACCATCCCCAGAAAGGGCTCGCCTGCATCCTGGTCTCCCATCCTGGAGCTGTCACACCACTGAGGTCTCTGGCGTAAGCCCGGGCACAGCTGCAAACACGGTTTTCCAAATGCCCAGCGAGTTCAGTGCCTAGAACACAAAGGAGCACAAAAATTCAACTGTGAAATGGGAACCAAGCGCGGGACTGTCATTCTGGGCCGTGCAAAACAATCATTACTGCAATGCAACAGGCAGCTATGCTTCACAGATTCCTACGCAATTTTTGCTTGAAATAAAAACATTATTTTAGAAATGAATGCACATTAAAATTAAACACTTACACGAGACTCAATGTAAAAAGATGAAATAATTAAAACCAGCATTGCACACCAAATTTCATTACGGGTTGCATCAGGTCCATTTACTAAAAGATGGTTTTGAGCAAATCGGAATAGCCCGTATCTGTCTTACGCACCTTCCAGGAGACAGCGATGACCTCTCCAAATTACACCCTGCTTTTGTCGTACTGTACAAACCCACAAAAACACACCCTCATCTCTCACCTTTCTTCTGGCCGTTATGATCCGTTACTGCATTAGCCACTGTACCTCCTGTGCCAGCCATCATCACGTGCTGCCTGTTACAAAGGCCACTATCACTGAGCGAGGTCCGTGGCAGAGAAGCCACTCAGGTATCAGGGCTACAGTTCCACAATTGCTTTAAGGTGACATAAAGTACCGGCCCCGCTCCTTCCCTCGCTTTAAGCTCTCGTGTCATTACTGGAGCCCTGGAATCAGAAAACGAGCCAGCTCAAGAAATCAGTCCTCCAGGATTAAGAAAACTAGTGGCACGTGCCATGCTTGGGCCTGGAAACAAGGGGAGGGTGGAACTGCCAGTAGAAAGACAGCGTGATTTGAAGCCTGACTTCCAGCAGCGGCCGGAACGCCCGATTCACACTCCCCCTGCTTTAAGGGAACCTTGTGGAACCGAGGCAGCTGACGACCACACTCCTACTTGCCGGGCGGTCAGAAACAGAGTTGGCAAACAGGCACCTCAGTTCACCTCACAAAAATGTGAGTTACAGACACAGTTCCAATATATTATTAGAACAAGCTCAACTACCTAATTACGGGTTCTTCTGAAACAGTGCAGTAAACAGACATGGAAAGTCTGTTAGTCACTCACTTTCTCTTGAGCCTGAGTCAGCTTCCCCTCCTGAGGGTCAGTTAAAGCCACCAAAGATCTCAGCACTTCCACCCTAGAAAACAAACATTTCCATCAAGATACTGGAAATGTAGTTTTAAAATGAGTTTTAAAAATAATTCCTTCCCCCTGAATCATCCAAAGCTGCAGAAAGGAGTTCTAAATCTGACACAAACTCATGCTGGTATAAAAGTCTGCAGATATTCCTGCCCTTTTGGCAAAAGACCACCACACAGCCTAATAAGGCAGGCACCCCTGTATTTGCTCAGTCTCCACATTCACACTGCCAACCTCATTCTGCAGAACAAAGAGAGGTTTTTAAGAAATAAAACTAATTTGCACATGCAGTAAAGCATTACTACACGAATGGTATTAAATGCAGCTACGAAAACAGAACAATAATAGCTACACGTTGCCAGTACTGAGCGTTGCTAAGTACGAAGACCACAGATGCCGGAGAATTCTGTTTTCAAAGAAAGGTCACTTTCAAAGTTAGGGCCAGGTCTTCACGAGGCATTAAAACACAGAGAAACTTCTGAAAGATTCAACAGAGGGAGTGCTACATTCCATGTAAAGTCCAGCTGTCTCTGACAGAAGGGATCTGATGGCTGCTTTTGAAAACGCCCTCGGTGTAACCCCCAAAGGGGAAATAATCACCTGAAAATCATACATTCTTCCACTCAGTTTTATAACACACGAAAAGCAAGGACTACAAACCAAAAGAGACATTCAAGCGCACAACTGAGGCAAAGAGCTGTTTTCAGATGCAGTGTAAGCGTTCATCACAGGCTGTGCATCTGAGCATCTCTTGTCCGAGGGCAGTTACACAGAAAGGAAAAATTCTGCTCCCAAGGAGACGCTTTAGCCCTCACGGCGTTAGCAGCCAAACCCCCTGCCCCTCACAGCCCCCCGGACAGACTCACAGGGGCGTTACGGTGCCGTGATGGCGGCCCAGCTGGGACAGGACGGTGTCTCTCCGGACGGGAAGGTCCCCACCGGACTCTTCCATCCTGCTCTCACTGGAACAGGCTCCGTGCGCCTCCGTGCAGCCTGCGAGGAAAACAGAGACCCCGGTCACTGCGACCACG